CTGTGTCATATGTGGTTGGCTCTAGTAGGGCCCTTTTCGTTTTGAACCTCTCGTGTGTCCTCGTTCGACGTTGTTTTGATTTGTCTGCCACCTCTTGTTGTAAACTTGACGGCATTGGCTCTCATTTTTCTTTTTGGTCGTTCTGCTGCTGTGGGTGGCTCCAGCGCTCGTCTTTCTGCTGCGGCGCGTTGTTGCTTGCCTGCGCTGCCTTCTGCAACTATGTCATCTCTCCTTTTGTTGGAGGTGATGTAGGCGGTGCTGGCAACGCTGGTCTCTTCTGGTGTGTTGGTGATGTGGGAGTTGGTGATTTGGCTCAGCTGTCTTCTTCTGCTTTGCTTGCTGTTCACTCTGTTTGCGCTGCGCTCTGTCTCTTGCCTTCTGCTGCTGCGCTTGTTGCTGCATCCTTCTGTGGCGCAAGCGCCTTGCCTGTCGCTAGCGTTGTCGCTGGTGTTGCGAGCCTTTGTTCACTCAGTCCAGTAGTTGTTGGTTGTTCTTGTGGGGCGTTATCTGCCTGCTGATTGTCCTTGCTCTGACAGTTGCAAATCCCAATGATGGATTCGCCTGTGTTTGTATCCTTGCCAAGCCAGATCCCTGTAAAAAACCTTGGCTCGAGTTTGGAAACTTTTTGATTGTCGGCACCAGGCGTTGCACTGTCTCACCAAACTCGCAAAGTGGTGTGTGTTGTTCTCTGTTCCATGCTGTTGAAGTAGCTTGCGCATCCATTGCTGTGGAATGCGTATCTGTTCATGATGTGTGCGCTGCGTCGAACTACTCAAGGCATGAGTGGATGTTCCATTGGGACGCCCCTGTTGTAGTTCTGCTTGATCTGTGCCTTGAGTGTTCTGACTTGCGCAAGCAATGTTCTGTGCGCTCATTCTACTCCTCCTTGTGATTGTGAACTGTATGTTCCTGAGTTCCTTGTGGCGGTGTTGCCATTCTTGTTTGCAACTGTGATCAAAGCTGTCAGGAAGTCCCCCTGATCTGACTGTAGCATGGTTTGCCACGGTCTTCCAAATTTAATGCGGCAGCGCTGTAGTCGCGCAACTGCGTCGTCGGAGAGCATCCTTGCGTTGGTCAACGGTATGGCCACGCTCATCCCAGATTGGATGTCAATTGCTGTGGGGGTTGGGTGTAAATTGGGCGTACGTTGCTGTCATCGAAGCTTTTGATGTAGCCGAAGTCGAGCTGTATGATCGGAAGCTTGCTGTGTTGCTTTGGGTGGTTGTTGTCTGGCTCTTGCTTTTACACGTCTCGGACACCAACTCCTGTGGGGGAAGTGTGTCATGTTCTGCTCCAGTATGTCTTGTGGCGTTGGTTTCTTTGCCACTTGTACTATTTTTGCTTTTGTGCCTTGTTGTTGTTCCTCATCATCTGACTCGAGTTGTCTAGGAAACTCCTGATGTTCCTCGAAGTTGGCCCAGCCTGGCCAAGGCTTTCCTGATGTCTTTGGTCGCTGCGCTGTCCGCTCATCTTCTACCAATCTGTTGCTGCTCTCTCCGCCTAGTTGCGATGTCTGGCCTGCTATATATCTGCTCTGGTGTGTAAAAAAATGCTGCGTGTGGCTTGAACTCTCTTCCAATATGGGCCTTCTCTGCGCCAGTAACTTCTGAAGGGTGTGGAAGTCCTTGTCCAGCTGCACCTTTGGTGGTGTGTGTGGTGCTGCTGACCCGGAAGTGTTGGTGGTGTTGTCTTCTCTCTCAATCGCGCGCACAGGTTTTGCCGAATCACATGTGGTGTGACCTTCTGCGACGCGCTCTTTGGCCGTGTCTTTGTTGTAAGCTGTTGCTGTAGTGTTCTCCAGTGTGCTGTTGAACCCTTTGCTGTGTTGTAGTCTTGGATTGTCATCCAATGTAATTTGGAAACCTTATTCCGCCAGCCGTGTAACTGAAAGAGTTGGCTGTTTAACTTCGCAAAAGTAGAAAGGTGTGACAATCTGTTCTCCACTGTGGTTCGTCACCCAAACCGGCCTGTGCCCCCAAAGCGTGATGTGTTGGTTGGTCACTGTTCTAAGCTTTGGTCCTGCTCCGTGCTCAAGTTCCTGTAGTGGAAACTGTGGCGGAACCATGGTGGGCATACGTGTGTAGCCACACCGCTGTCAATCGCGAGACAGACCCGTTTGTTGTCTTCTGAGAGTTGCTGCGGCGCCAGTCACGGACATTGTTACTTTTTTAAACCCTGGTAGATACTGCTGATGAATCTGCTGGTTGTGGTAGTGCTAGTTGTTGCTCCTGTGTTTGAATTTGGTGGTACCAACTGCTGTCATAGCGTGCCTGATGTTACCAGTCATCTGTCTGCAGTCGTGTCGAATTTGCCAGTAGCGCAGTTGTAGATTGCCACCCTGAATTGTTTGGTGATGTGTCCTGGCTGCCCGCGCCCGTAGCAAACATTTGTTGTGTGTTTTCCCTTTGTGGTTGCTGTAATATCGAGTATCCTTTGCTTCTTCCTTTGTTGCTGTGTCCTTTCCTCTTGTTTTCCTTTGAAAGGAGTTCCTTCTCCAACCGCTTGTTGAGTGTACTGCTTGTCTTTTCCTCCTTTGAAGTTGTTGTAGTGGTAGCTGTTCCAGTAGCCGCCGTAGCCGTTTGCCTTTGCTGCTTTGCCTTTGCACTTACCTTGCTTTCCTTCGCCTTTGTTGCACCATGTTGCTCCTAAGCCTATCTGCGCTGGTCCTTGGTTGGTGCTGCTTGATGTAGCTGCTTGCGGCCTGGTGAATGATGATGCTGCTCTGTGACAGATACTCTATCACCAGAGGTCTGATTTGCGCATAGGTCGTGATGTTTCCTGTTTGCAGCTGCAGGTGTTGCTGTAGCACTCCTTTTGTCTCATTGAGCAGTATTGCGATCTTGACTGCGTCTGGTAGTAGTGTGACGTTGTCTCGTTCGTACTTGGCAAGTTGAAACGTCTCAGCAGTCTGTTGTGTGAAGGGTCTTTTGCGTTGTCATCTTGTACCTTCATTCTTCAATTGTGCTGCGCTCTCCTGAGAATCGTGGCGGTGCTATCTTGTACTTGTGTGATGCCTTTGCTCTTGTCTTTCCCAGGTACACTACGTACTGCTCCGCTACCATGTTAAAGCATGTGTGTGAAGTGAAGCGCTGTTGTTTTCCTATGACGGTGATGTACACTCCTAGCTGTACTGAAGGAAGGCTCAAGGCCTTGGATGTACATGGCACCATCAACGGTGTATTGAGAAGCATGTATCTTAACACACATATATACATACATACAAACTTATGCAATTCAATGTCCATCCAGCAGCTTTGCGCATCTGATCATTTGCCATCTTCCGCCTTTTCAAATCTGCTCCACTACTGTCCATTACCTTTCCACGCGCTTGTCAAGCTGCGGTTAACTTTGATTAAAACCATGCTTGGAAAGGGTGTCCTACCAAAATTAGCAAGCAACATAGACATTCAAGTTCCATTTACATAGCCATTATCTTTGGTTAAAATCCGATTCAGAAAGTACTTCCTACTTTAATCCTCAAGAATTCAAACCTTGCGTTCAGCATGATTGAAATCATTGAATCTGCGACATGCAACAGCGGCGGAACTTTGACTCGGCAAGCCCTTCCCGAGACAACGCGGTTTATGGCTGCAAGAGAATGGTTCTACAATGTGTACAAGCACGTGCGCTTGCCTGGACCCTCATACGCACACGCGGCCTCTGCGTTCCAAATTGAAAAACAGCTGGACATACGGCACTAGACTTGTCTTGGCACCTGTGTTTCCAGCAGCCCAAGATATTCATAGAACTCGCATTTTGCAAGTCCCGAAGCAACATGCGTTGCACTGGGCTTGAACTAACGTTTCCTTAAACTTTTTAAGCTTCAGGCCAGTGAATGAAGCTTCAAATAAAGCCCCTTACACGACTCGTCATAAGGCTCTGTCTAAGGCACCTGAAAGGCTCCTTGTACAGTTGGTTGCAAAGATGCTTGTACAGCTCCTTTTGAGGATCATGATAAAGCTCTTTATGAAGGTCATTGCAAAGCTGAATATAAGGCTCCATATACAGCTTACAGCGCACATGTTAAAGTTCTCATAAAACTCCTCATGCTCCTTGAAAAGCTGCTTATGGGGCTCCTTGTGCAGCTCCTGTTAAAGCTCTGGAAAAACCTTCCCTTTAAAACTTCTTGTTAAGGCCCCTTTTTCCAAATTGTAGTCAGTGTTTGAAGGAAGAAAGTCTACTAGGATGTCTATGTTGAATGAGAATGGAAAGGAGAAGTCCTTTCCCATATGTGGTGCGAAACTAACATTAACTATTGGAACATGCGTAGAAATTAATAAGGCACGAGTTCCATTAGTCTTCCATCTTCCGTCCTGTCCATGAAAAGAACTCGGTAAGAGGCTAGTTTAAATATATTTTGCTGCACCAATTAGAACTTAAATCTAAATCCCTCTTAAATAAGATTAAAATCAACATCTAGTTCTAACTGAAGAACAACACATGTGCAGTTGAATGTTTCTGATGTGAGCAGCTTACTTGAAAAAAATCAGCTGGCTTGGATCTGAGGATCCGAGTGAAGGCGAGGCCCCCCTTTGACTGCTTCTGGCAATGGCGGAGACATCCGAAGCACTAGGAAAGCCAGCGCCATCAACACATTCATCCCTGAGTCAAACTGCACCAGCCCTGCTGCAATGAGACCACACCATCGAAGCATGGCAAACAGGAGCTGCAAGTTTGTCATGGCTCATTGCACGACCTGATCCTGGCTGAGAATCCAAGACCAATACCCGTCTAACAAGAAATCAAAAGAGACCACCCAAACCCCATACCCTAGCAACAGCGTCCGTCACTCCTATGCAAGCATGGATTCTATTTCACAGATTTGAAAACTGGGGTCTTCATACTTCCTACCTGTAAAGAACCGAAAATACAACTAAGCAATTTGGCCCAAAGGGTGCTGCCAAAAAAGCAATATCAGCAAACCCCGCGGAAAGGGTTTTGTTTAGACATGGGTCTCATTCAGCCGGGTTTGTGTTTTCAGCTCTTGCCGAGCGCCGCTCGAAGCCGGGGAAAGGGGATCTCGCCTCAGTCCGATGAAATCTTGGGGGGGGGTGTTCTCTCATCATCCCAGTCAACCCAAAGGTGACATTTCAATCCGCTCACAAGGGAGACATCCAGCTGGCGTTCAAAGAAGGGGCCTCCGAATCATTGGCTGTGCAGCGTAGGTTTATCGGGACGTCGCGACGCAAACCTTATGGGTTTGAGGCCTCTACACCTTCTGTGAGCTGGGGGGCCAAAAGCCCATTGGGGCTTGGAGTACCAAGATATATCTCGGTCTTTTGCCCACTGCCCTGTTTCGGAATCTCCAGTTTAGCAGCCGGGCACACGCCCCGCTTGCACGCAATCCCAAGATGGGACCCTCAAAACAAAGGACGCACGCATGGGTCTTTTGGCTCCAATAGCAGGGCAAACCACGAAGGAATCGCTCGCCAATGCAGAAATGGGTGCGGCCGAAAACGAGCGGCGAAAAGCGGGCGTCGCAAACATCGCTCAACCAACGTTGGCCAGAAAGTGACCAACGTTGGACGGAGCACCTCCACGCTTGCAAGCAAAGTGGTCACCCACGAAAACCAGCTTCTAGCTTCAATCCTACAGGTGTCCTTTTGGCTAAACAACCGACGTCTCACCACTAGCAACCGATTGTTATCACCAAACTCACGTTAGGGCCAGTCCTCAAGCAACTCTTTGTTAAGCAATCCCAAGAGCCTCCTCTCTAGAGCCTGCTCTAAGGTTTGAATTTATCGAAACGGCCCTGTTCCCCAAAGGAGCATTGTTTTTGAGAGGTTCAAGGCTTACACACTGCTGGGGAGGCTACGGCCCTGAAACGCGCTGCGCTCTTCCGGTCGTCTTCCTGGAATCTTCCTGTAATCTTGTCGTAGCATTCTGAATCTAAACATCAACCTTCGGCATGCTACTGCCATGAAACCACACAACACACTTGCCATGAAACCACACAACACACTCCAACCACGCAGTGGCTTCGCGAAGTGGCTTCGCCTGTGTCAATGTTACCGAGCTACGCGAATTGGCTTCGCGGGGCATCGCGGCATAAAATGTATCACACAAGTGCCTGCGCGGAGCTTTTGCAAATTCCCCACAAAGCTAAAATCAATCATCTGAGAAAAACGCTGCTCCGTGAGGGCGCTGTTGTTGACAGAAATGTGCGGTCCGAATTGTCTCTTCGCCCCAAACCCCAAAATCAACGGCTTTTCTGCCAGCAACTGAATTCGGGCCTGATCCGCACAAATATCCAGCGCATCCGCACGCTGCAATGCATGGTTCGGGGCCCATCTGTGTGTCTCAAAATTAAAGGACCTGCAGCGGGTTGTTCGCCTTTTGTATTTTGAAACGATACCAAAAGGAGCCCCTTTTCCCGCGGCGGTCTGGGTGCCAACACCGCATTTCGGAAACGTGAGATTGGCAACCAGAAAGGTAGGGGGTGTCCCGCCAACAGCTGAAGGGTGCTTCAAACCGTCCCAAACGGTTCCAACTGAGTATCTGGTGGACACTCCGCTCAAACAGGAACTGTGTTTCGCTTGTTCCTTAATTTTTGCAAGCCCCAACTCAACTGAACCCCAACCAACCCGGATGAACAAATTGAACCGAGAATACGATCCCTTGCCAATGAAAACGCCCGGAATCCTTGAGACCTTCTGATACAAGTTCCCCTTGCAGCCGGAGCCGCGGAGCCGCGCGCACCGTGGCGTTGCGGGCCCTTGTGCCGTTGGAAACTCCGGAAACCATCCGGGTGGAAGTCGTGCTCCTTTGATACTGGTTTTCTGGCGCTGGGAAACCTTCGATCATAACTTTCTGTGCGATAAGCTGTTTCTGAAGGGCTTGACACATTGTCAATCAGAGTCCGACTCCGAAAGAAAGTCCCAGATGTGTGTCTTGCGAAAAGCTTCAGCTTCTCATTGCAGGAGCGAGCTAAATGACAAATGCGCCACTCACATGCAATGACAAGCCTGGAAGCAACAGGCGCACTTTTTTGGAATGACTGAAATGGAGAATCTTCCGCGCGGCGAGCCACAAGGTTACATAGAAGGATGGTTTTGGACATGCAAAACCATAGAAGGACAAACCTTCTGACACATGCCTAGTACCATTTGGGGCATGCTCCGAAGGTTCTCCCTGATTGAGATGAAAGCAAGTAAACTGCATCGGGCATCTACAGCATCGCCCTGCATCCCCACAATCCACATCACCAGCAACCCCATACATTTCACTTGCGCTTTCATGACACGCAGCGCTCGTGTGAAAGGAACGGGCCCTGCCTGCACAACTCTTCTGACAAAAAAAGTCAACAAAGAATTGCTTCTCGCAAGGCTTTGCCCTGTTTGAGTCGTGGATTGGAACACCTTAGCCAACATTTAATGGTGCTGCACTGAGAGGCAGCAAGGTTGAATGAGCCCCACCCAAAGCCGAAGTTTGTTGGCTAAGGTACATAAGGCGCCGGCTTGTTGGAGAGCAATGCAGCCTGACGATGCACTGGAATTTCTGCCGAAGGTTGCAGCCCCCTCACCCATTTTTTGGGTTAGAGTAGCCCAACCCACTTCCAAGCCAGTTCCATCCCAGCCAGCCGAACGACTGTTACAGGGAACCATTCTTGGTGGGAACTAGCCGAACAAAAAGGGGCACGGGGTTTGACAGAACAACTGGGGAAGCGCTCTTCGGTTGGGGTATGTTGGGGTACACGCTTTGAGAAAGCAGACAAATTGCAGATCTGCATTCATTCGCAGCTCTGACTGGGCAACATCCTTCAAACACACTCCATTCAAAAAACAAGCGTTCAGTTCTTTGGAGTCTTGTGACGCAGCATGATTTGGTGGACTCTCCTTCTACTCGTGCACGCCTCTCTATCCGTCATTAACTGATGATCGATGAGGCACAGCAAGAATCTGTAGGATTCTGATGTCGCGCAAAGTGATCTCCTTCGACCGAGCAACAGATCCCATGTGGCATTCACCGTCGAAAACACAACAGGACCTCAGCGCCCTGCCGATAAGAACCTCATGGTGTTCAGGTCACAAGGGTACGATCTCCTTTCATTTGCTTGCCGCTGACAGGCCGAAAGGACTGCAGTATCATCGCAATGCGCTCCGCCCTTTAACAAGCTTACCAGTTCTGCTTCTGTCGTAGTTCTGCTTGGAACATCCAGCAATACGTATTTTGCGTCGGCTGGAGCGTTTCGCAGCCTTGCTTGTAGAGCTTGACGCCGGGAGTTGCGAAACGTTCACCATCGGAGTAGGAGAGCTTATCAAGGCTGGGGCTGAGCTCAAATCATGCGTTGACCCATGTATGCCATGCATCAATCTGCAGACGCACTGCGCATATTCATTGTCAAAGTCAACCTCCAGTTATGCAGTTGTGTGACCTTGGGCCATGGTGGTACCGCGGCCTTTTCGGCTTCCTCCCTTGATACTCTCGTCCTTTCAACCCTGGCACGATCCCGTCTTCTGTTTCTTGCCGTTCTTCTTCTTCGCCGACGATGACCCAATCATCGTTTTCCCTCTTCTTCCTTATCTCGTCATGATCATTTCCATCATCTCCAGGTGGGATGTCTGCCGCTTTTTCGTGGAGGAGTTGGGTCGCGCCAGGGTTGACGCTGGCACCAAAGCTCCAGGCAGCCAAGTGCTGCACAGCCCAAAGAAACAAAGCCCAGGCTGCATGGGCCTGCAGGGTGGGTGGGAGGCGCAATCGTCAGCTCTCATTTTCCTGATTGATGTGTCCGTCACAATGAGTGTGTTTTGAATGGTTTTGAATGTGTTTTGATTCCATCCCACATGTCAGGCTCAGAGGATGGCAGCGGTTACCAAGACCAAGCTTGTGTCATTTGAGCGGTGCGCTGCGGGATTGGCGGGCGGCCCCAGGCAAAAGCTCAGCCTGGGTGAGACTGCGCCCGTGGCAGACTACAGCACAGGACTTTTTCCTTGGGAGTACCTCAGCCGTATTCTGGCCAACCATGGGCCAAGTTCCCAGTCTGAGTGGCCAGTCTTGAGCCATTGTAAATCTCAGCTTGGGTTGCGCTGTGACCTATGTTTGGCAATCAAAGGTAATTTGCAAGCAAACAGCTTGCTTTGAAATCCTGGCTCAGGTGCTCTCAGCTTCCGTGCTTGGGCCTGAGTTTGGCTTGTGAACCTGCCATTAGTCTTAGCGCGCCCATGTCCGATCGGGATTGCGATGGCTTCTTTTATTATCCACTGTAGGTTTTGCTTTTAATTTCAGCGGCGTCAGTGCCAGCCCGCGCTGCCAGTTGAACCTGCACTTAGGGGCGGATCAGAGGGAGATGTCAAGGGGAAGGAGGAGGATGGAACCTTCGGAAAGATGGAGCTGGCAAACATGGAGGTTGACCTCTTCACGGCCAGTCAGGTAGCTGCTGCTGATGCGTCGTCTGAGGCTGAGTACTTGGCTGCTCTTTATTCAGAGGCAGCAAGGGCCACACCAGAGGACTTCGAACAGATCGCCTTTGAGTGCGGCAAGAAGCTGCTATCCCATTTTGGTGGGCCCCAGCAATACCTGCAGCGAGCCCCTCCTCACACCAACAGCGTTGCTGTTGCGCTAGGCCTTGAGTTCAGCACGACCCGGCAAGATGTCAACACTTCGTGCCATGTTTTGCCTCAAGCTGTCGGGCTTGTCTTTCAGTCCTGCCTCAAGCACTAAGCCCGCGTCACACCTCACCACGGCCATCAGTACTTGTGCAACAGCTTCATCTCAAAGGGCAACTTTAATGCGTGTCATGGGAAGTATTTCTTGAAAGTTTTCTGGTTAGCAGTCACTCTGTCAATCCATAATGCTTCCTACTGCGTTTGTAAGCGCCCAGCAACCCGCTTCTTCTGCGGTCGGGCCCGCAGGGGTCCGGTGAAGGGGTCGGGCAGCCGCCTTCTGGGTGGGCACACTATGTGAAGAGGGAATGACCCTTCTTTTCCTGGCTTGTTTGAGTCCATGCGGGTCATTTGGGCCTCGCGGAACAATGAGCACAGACATCAAGCGGGTGGCATTCGTGCCCTATCTTCCAAAGTGCACAGTTGTACTTGGCGTGAGTGAGGTAATTAAAAACGCTGGGGTCTTTGTAACTGGTCTGTTGTCAGTCGTGGTCGCATGCCCTTCGGACTTGGCAAACGCCGCGCTGTCATCAAGAGGCGTGATTCGTCGAGCACACGATGTTCCAACATGGCCATCAAAGCTCAGCCTTCTCTGCACTAAGGGCTTCAAAGCGGATGCTGCCATCAAGGCGTGGAACATGGAGGCTACCAGGGAGTTGCAGCTTGCTGGGCAGAAGCGCGTCGCGTCGCTCTTCCTGCTGTCAGCACCACCTGGGACAGCTGAGTTGCTTCTGAAGCACACGTCTGAGTTTGGCGCGCAGTCTGCCTTCGCAGAGGCTGGGGTAGTAGTTGTTGCTGGAAATAACAGGCTACCAGACCATTCGTTTACTTCTCAAAGTTAGAATGAGTTGCTACCACTTGCAAAATCTGTTGCGTTGTAGGAGGCCTTTGCCAACAAGGCCATCCAGGTGGGCGCTGTGACCAAGACGGGGGACAAGACCTGGAGCAATTTGCGCTGATGATCCGGTTTGTGGATGCCACCTGCTGCCAGGTAACCGGGCAAAGCTTTCCAAGGAGGCCTTGCGGGAAGCAGCGCACCTTTGCCAGTTGCTGGTGGGTACTTGGCAGGAGCGAAAACTCCATCAGTCCCCTTGGCGCTCCTTTCATAAGCTCCTTGGCCACTGTCAAACCAGCCGAGGTCCAAGAGGCGGAGCGCTCAGCCAATGCCACCTGGAGCTCCATCTCAAGGTTGCGGTAGCCAGCCAGCCAGCTTCTTGCTGAGAGAAGTTGCTGCAAACTGAGCTGAAGATGTTTGAGTGTTCTGACAAGCTGGTTTCTTTGTGGCTGTCATGCGCCTACTCAGCGCTGAGCCTTGTGAAAAACGGACCCTCGCCAAGGCACGGTTCCAACTGGCTGCTGAAGTGCGAGGATCATGAAGCCAGTGTGTATCACGCCGAGCTGCAGCACAGGCAGCAGGAGGCTTTCCGCCAAGCCAAGGCGCGCTGAGTCTAGCCGGCAACTCTGGCTGGCCACAGGACGTCCCAGACCTTCCAGATGGCAAAAGACAAATAAGCTCCAAGAACCAGCGCGCGCAGGCTGCCCTAGCAGGCTACCTGGTGAACTCGCACTCCCCGAAAACTGGCGCCTGCGTCGGCCTGCTCCTCTCTCCAGCGCGCAGCTATCATCGTGGGCTTTTTTGGAAACAGGACAAATCATCCTGGTTGAACCTGGACATGCCCTTCCTTACATGGACAGAGCTGATGAAAGAGATCAAAGGCCCGGCTGGGCCTGAACAAATCATGATGCGGGCATGTCAAAGGCTTAAGTGCCCGTGAGAATGAATGAACGAACGAACGAACGAACGAACGAACGAACGAACGAATGAATGAATGAATGAATGAATGAATGAATGAATGAATGAATGAATGAATGAGTTGGCCAGCCCGCCCGCCAGGTCGATGATTCATCATGGGCGGCTGATGCTCTTTGATGGAGGAGAAGCCTCCGCGTTCCAAAACGAGGCAGTTCTGAAAGGGCTCCTGGATGCGGCTGAGGCGGTGCCTGGAAGGGACATGGTCGCCATCGAGGACATTTCTGACGATGCCCTGTCGCTGACCCAGGGCGCGGCAGAGAAGGTTGCGCAGGTTGGAGCGGATGGCTGCGCAAGCATTCTGCGTGGAGCGCTGGCCTCCTTGACCCGGCACGCCCCAGCCTGTGGTCCTGGTGGTGGATCTGAATGCTCACACTGGAGACCTTGGCCGCGCTGCGGCCAAGGTCCAAGCCATGTGTTTGTGGCCAGTTGTGTTGGGGCCAGTGGTGCGTTTAACGTGGTTTGTATACATATACTTTCACCAATTCACCAATTCAGTGTCGCGATTGTAACGATGACCGTGAAGAATGCCGGGTGGACTGAGCCTTGCAGCATCACACCGAGAAGCTGGCCGAGCAGCTTCAAACCGTTCGTCAGCCTGCCAGAAAGGAGACGGTTGTAAACCGATTGGGATGACAGTGTGTGATTGGCCAGCTGCACCACATTTTGCAGGAACGCAGAGCTTCATTGCAGCTGCTGAGCCCTCCAAGGAGAACAGCGCATCGGCTGGGCCAACCCCCTCTTTTTCCTTTCCCGCCGGCGCCCAGAACTTGTAGTAGCCAGGCAAGGTGGTCCCTTTACGGATCGTGTTGGGCTCTGTTCTGCAAGTAGCCGCCCGCGCCAACTGTGACCATCACTGCGCTCAGGTTGCCAGATTCGACAAGGTGAGCCAGGCTTCCAGGCTCCACCCTCCAGGCCCTGTCCACGCCTGCCAAAGTCTTGGCTGCCTGGCATGACCACAGCATCTTCAAGGGTGAGTTCAGGGAGTATCCACCGGACCTGCCCCCGAAGACGCGCAGCTCTCAGAACGAAGACGATGGCAAGAATCAGAGCAAGAAGCGAAAA